GAGGGAGATGGGAAGGGGCTGGAGAACTTGGAATGGCTGAGGGAGCTGGGAAGGGGCTGGAAAACTGGGAATGATGAGGGAGGGGGGAAGGGGCTGGAAAACAGGGAATAAGGGAGGTGGGAAGGGGCTGGAGAACCTGGAATGACTGAGCTGGGAAGGGGCTGGAAAAGTTGGAATGGCTGAGGGAGCTGGGAAGGGGTTGGAAAAGAGGGAGTGGGAGAGGGAGCTGGGAAGGGATTGGAAAACTGGAATGATGAGGGAGGTGGGAAGGGGCTGGAAAACAGGGAATAAGGGAGGTGGGAAGGAGCTGGAGAACCTGGAATCACTGAGCTGGGAAGGGGTTGGAAAACAGGGAATAAGGGAGCTGGGAAGGGGCTGGAAAAGCAGGAATGGCTGAAGAAGCACGGAAGGGGCTGGAGAACAGGGAATGATGAGGGAGGTGGGAAGGGGCTGGAAATCTGGGAATGGCTGAGCTGGGAAGGGGCTGGAGAACCAGGAATGGCTGAAGAAGCAGGGAAGGGGCTGGAGAACCAGGAATGGTTGAGGGAGCTGGGAAGGGGCTGGAAATCTGAGGGAGGTGGGAAGGGGCTGGAGAACCAGGAATGGTCGAGGGAGCTGGGAAGGGGCTGGAAATCTGGGAATGGCTGAGCTGGGAAGGGGTTGGAGAACTGGGAATGGCTGAGGGAGCTGGGAAGGGGCTGGAAAACTGGGAATAAGGGAGCTGGGAAGGGGCTGGAGAACCTGGAATGACTGAGCTGGGAAGGGGCTGGAAAACTGGGAATGGCTGAGGGAGCTGGGAAGGGGTTGGAAAAGAGGGAGTGGGAGAGGGAGATGGGAAGGGGCTGGAGAACCTGGAATGGCTGAGGGAGCTGGGAAGGGGTTGGAGAACTGGGAATGGTCGAGGGAGCTGGGAAGGGGTTGGAAAACAGGGAATAAGGGAGCTGGGAAGGGGCTGGAGAACCTGGAATGACTGAGCTGGGAAGGGGCTGGAAAAGCAGGAATGGCTGAGGGAGCTGGGAAGGGGCTGGAAATCTGGGAATGGTTGAGCTGGGAAGGGGCTGGAGAACCAGGAATGGCTGAGGGAGCTGGGAAGGGGTTGGAAAACAGGGAATGATGAGAGAGCTGGGAAGGAGCTGGAACACTGGGAATGGCTGAGGGAGCTGGGAAGGGGCTGGAGAACTGGGAATGATGAGGGAGGTGGGAAGGGGCTGGAGAACCTGGAATGGCTGAGGGAGCTGGGAAGGGGTTGGAAAAGAGGGAGTGGGAGAGGGAGCTGGGAAGGGGCTGGAAAACAGGGAATAAGGGAGCTGGGAAGGGGCTGGAGAACTGGGAATGGCTGAGCTGGGAAGGAGTTGGAAAACTGGGAGTGGTCGAGGGAGCTGGGAAGGGGCTGGAAATCTGGGAATATCTGAATGAGCTGGGAAGGGGCTGAAGAACCTGGAATGGCTGAGGGAGCTGGGAAGGGGTTGGAAAAGAGGGAGTGGGAGAGGGAGCTGGGAAGGGGTTGGAGAACTGGGAATGGCTGAGGGAGCTGGGAAGGGGCTGGAAAAGCAGGAATGGCTGAGGGAGCTGGGAAGGGGCTGGAGAACCTGGAATGGCTGAGGGAGCTGGGAAGGGGTTGGAAAAGAGGGAGTGGGAGAGGGAGCTGGGAAGGGGTTGGAGAACTGGGAATGGCTGAGGGAGCTGGGAAGGGGCTGGAAAAGCAGGAATGGCTGAGGGAGCTGGGAAGGGGCTGGAGAAC